TTACTTTAATATATATATATACATTAAAATTAATCAGATTTTTTATTTTATACAATTGTGACGTATGACATTATATTTAAATTTAATATTTGTTTTTGAGATTTAAAATCTTATCATATAATTTCCTTTAAATATAAAATCAGTTTAATGCTCAATACAAAGAGAGAAAGGAATATTTCAAAAAGACCGATTATGCAAACATAATAATTTACATGTATTCATATTTCACCCTTATCAACCTACAATCAATATATAAATAAATAAATAACTTTTTCGATATAATCGAGTTAATCAATTAAATTTTCATTATCATAAACAGAACTGAATGCTATGGATATAATATCAATAAAAATGAATATAACAACAAGAGAGGAATGATTGAATAAATATCTTTAAAATAATTGTTAAAATTTCTTTGGAACACACACGAAATATTTCCTAAAGGCCATTTATATATCGACGTTACGTGTAAAAAGCGTGGGATATCACGTCCGAAGAAAGGTAAAAATCTGAAGGCGCGAGATCAATCCTTCGCAAGTACCAAAAAGTTAAGAATTCCGAAAGGATAGATTCTCGGCGCGCGCGCGAGAGATTTTCAGGAAGATGCTCTCTCAGATGCATCGGCTGCTCGAAAACTCGTCGATGTATCCGATGTCTGAGGGGGAGTACAGAACAGGTTTAAGAACGCTGCGGCTAACCGAACTTCAAATCCGCTCTTCTACGGCCGAGAAACGGAAACGGTGCTTTAGAATCAATTCGTCACTTTCGCCATGTCACATATTTACGAATTCGAACTACCGCAATTTCGATGAGAGTTCGGATGTCGCGCGATGCTATGAATAAGAGAAAGACTGATATTGAATTCTGTGTTGATGTGAATAGTAACGAATAGAAGTTGATTAAAATATATATACTATAATTTATGAATTACATATGATATTTTAATACTATAAATATAAATTCGATATGATACAAAATAAGATAAGAAAATATGTGCAGATAAGATAGGAAAAATGTATCTTATGCCAATATTTGCGGATAAATATATAGAGATTACTTTCATATCTCGATGGCATAGAAACATAAACTCACTGAAATTGTACCGGTTTTGATTCCCAGTTTCTGACACGCATACGATCGTAACGCGAATACGATTATCAAGCGCGACGACCTGTAACTCTACGCAACAGCTGTGCATTGTGAAAATAATCGTATGAAATTATAGAAGAAACTGTCACTACGAAGAAAATCTTCGCTATGCATATTATATATTTGTTGAGAAGTATAAATATATCTCTAAAAACACATAACTCTTTGTCAAGGCATATTTCTTGCAAAAGCAATGATAAATTATAAAAATAAAGAGAGAGTGTGAAAGAGAGAGGAAGAGAAAGAGAGAGTACTTGTGAAGGAATGAAATAATCCGAAATAGAAATAATTCGATAATTGGCTGAATCAGAAAGTGGCTCGTTTCTTGTCAGAATTTAAATCTCGATTAACAAGCGATTAACACGCCTAATTTGCGAATTATTTTCGCAAAACACCTCATTCTGCATGACAGAATTCACTCACTTTGGTATCAATTAAAACAAACATTTTGCATATAAAAAAAGACAAATCAAATTTCCCTTTCGTCTTAACTAGACCCTTTCTCACATTGTCGATCAAGATCGCGGGTTAACTAATGCTCGCCCTGCAGGATTCTCAATTACAGAAACTTCAAAACTCTCAGAGATTCACTCCGATGTAGAGAATCCCCTGGTTATGGGATTCGACGGAGTCTCCCCTCGCGGTCGTGTAAATGGGGAAAAAGGAGAACGGAACGGAAAGAGAAACGAATATCAGGGCGATTTCACCTCCTGCTGGAGGACGATCTGGGTGCACTCGCGGGCACGGCTGACATACACGGTGCCGTGGCACGTGGCATGTCCTGGCTCTCTCTCTCTCTCTCTTTCTCTCTCTCGCTCTCTCTCTTTCTCCCTCGCCAGCAGAATCACCACCGCTCGCTCGCGTGTGGCGGCAGCGGGAACGCGTGCAGCAGCAGCAGCAGCGGCCGGCGTTCGGGCGCTCCGCGTCGCGACTGCCGGCGTGCGCGGCGCAGCTAAAAAATCATACGATGACCTCATCCACACCGGCTATGCTCTCCTCCTGCCCATGTCACTATGCTACTAGTCATCCTGAAAACGTCGCTCGTCGTCCGCGCCGCCGAAGCCGCCGTGTTTTATACAGATTGCCGCGCCGCGATACCGCTTATCTGATGCTTATATAGCGGTCTTTAATATTATCTCGTCGGTTAATTTAACTTTTATTCTTTTTTTATTCGACGCCTCGTTTTTGTGAGAAAAATTTCAATAGAAATATAACGCGATATTGGCGATAAATAATTTTCCTTGAGAAAGAGAGAAAGAAGGAGAGAGAGAGAGAGAGAGAGAGAGAGAGAGACAAGGAAGCATCTAGAAACATATTTTTTTCAGATATCAGATTAATGAAAGCTAAGACTATTATTAATGAGTTTAGTATTAATTTGAGAATTGTAGAAAATAAGATAATTGTGGTTTAGTTAAGATTCTTTGTATTATGGTTATCAATAATATTTCATAGATGTGCGCGAGATCAGAAAAAAGCGGGCGATCCTCGTTTATCCTTATTAAAATATTACGGAAAGCATAATTGATACAGCTAATTAAAACACATACCTCAGTTCGTACGACGTTGGTACACTCATTACGCTTTCGATGATTATAACTCGAGATACTGCGAAGATGATGTCGGTCGGTTGCGGACACACAGAAGCATCGGCGTTATTGATACCCCGAAGTCACGATATCTGCGTATAATGACACTTACACAATGTTCAACGCGTTACGACAAATATTCGATATTTCACAACATAATTCGTGATAATTTTTCGCACAAAAACTCACTTTTTTCAACACTCACGAGAGAGACCAGCGACTCCGATATCTGCACGCGTACAAATGGCTACGATTCGAAATCTATCGAATGACGACGCTGCGATTCTCGTAGTATCGAAACTATCGATACATCGCAGCGCCTTCACTCAATTCTCTCCATGCGACAGCTTCGGTTGATACTTTCGTCTCTCATGGTCGCGAAATCTTGTTGAGGTTAAGTAGTATCAAACACGCATATACGTGAAATAGTATCGAGTAGTGTTAACTCATTACGCTTTCGATGATTATAACTCGAGATACTGCGAAGATGATGTCGGTCGGTTGCGGACACACAGAAGCATCGGCGTTATTGATACCCCGAAGTCACGATATCTGCGTATAATGACACTTACACAATGTTCAACGCGTTACGACAAATATTCGATATTTCACAACATAATTCGTGATAATTTTTCGCACAAAAACTCACTTTTTTCAACACTCGCGAGAGAGACCAGCGACTCCGATATCTGCACGCGTACAAATGGCTACGATTCGAAATCTATCGAATGACGACGCTGCGATTCTCGTAGTATCGAAACTATCGATACATCGCAGCGCCTTCACTCAATTCTCTCCATGCGACAGCTTCGGTTGATACTTTCGTCTCTCATGGTCGCGAAATCTTGTTGAGGTTAAGTAGTATCAAACACGCATATACGTGAAATAGTATCGAGTAGTGTTAAAATATAAAATGTCAGGCGGTGGTACACAGAGACTAACATCCTACCGACTGCCACGAGATCTGACACTAGGTGGAAATGCTAAGCCTGAAAAGCCCAAGAAGGTGTATATACCAAACCTTAATGTGCAGAAGAACAAGAAAAAAGAGTAGGGACTTATATATTAAATAATGGAATGTTTTACGATATATATTATAAATGCTAAAGATAAATTCCTTTTTCAGCGAAGCGACACCAGTTAAAGTTGAGGCTACAAAACCAAATGACAGAGAGCGTGGAAGAGGACGAGGGAGAGGAGATGGCAAGCATGGAAGAAACAAGGGAAATATAATACAAGTACGTCCAATATATACTAAATGTTCTTCAATAATTTGTAGCATAAATCATGATAATGTCATATTCACATATTTTATATTATAATTTATATATATATATTTTATATTATATTTCAGTCTGCTAGTATATGGTCGGAGGGAATATTTACAGCACCCACAGTTAGTAGAAGATCCTATAATTCCGGCAGTGGCACTAGTAGAAGTACTGAAAAATATCCGGAAAAATCAAAGCTAGATATGAATAAATTTATCACTAACACAGAAGAAGAAGAAAAATTAAAAAAGCTATTAAGTGATGATCTTGACGATGATGCAAATCCTGATGACAAATTGGACCCTATTTCACTGCCAAGGGTTGTAAAAGAAGAATTTAGTGATGAAGAAATTGACACGAAACCAGTCATTTCAGAAAATGGTGAAGGTAAGGAATATAATCTTTCCTATAATTTCATCAAGCTCTTACATACTCGTCTCTTTTATAGTTATAAATATAAAAGAGGAAACTTTAAGCGAACAAAGTAAAAAGGAAGTTACCATTCCCCAAATAATCGAAAACAAGACTAATCCTTATGTATTAATGCAGGTAAGATAAATTCTTTTGCAATTATCAATGTAATTATTGCTTAGTTTAAGAATTGATTCATAGTTTCCAGACTGTTGGCAAAATGTAGAATCTAGTCAAGAAGGATCAAAGCCAAAAGGACCAAACGACTCTAATACTTGTAATGAAAATGACAATAAAGCAAAAAGCGAGTATCGTGGTTTGAATAGCTTAAAAAGTGGTCTATTAGGCAAACTTGAGATTTTAAAGTCGGGTAAAGCGAGATTATGTATTGGCGAAAAGTATTTTTCCATCGATATTAATGCACAGAAAGATTTCCAGCAGGTAAATCGTGTTTTAATAACTTAATTCTCACGATATACAATATTTTATTGAAATTCTTTATAAAACTATTATTATGTTTTAGGAGCTTTTAGTTGCAAAAGTTGATAATATATCATTAACTGGTGATCTCGTCAATCTTGGACCAGTAAACAACCATTTACTTTGTTCACCAGACTTGCAAACTATGTTGAAAAATTCGTAAATCTTTATACATATAAATGTAATTTTTAATAAATAGTTAATATGAAAGAAGGATATCAAGAGCTGAAGGAGATTTGCGAGCAACATGTAATTCAGATTATAATTGTGAGTAATTTTGTATTTTCTTTTCCAGTGTACTAGAAAATATGTAGGTTATTAAATAAAATACATTGCATTCTGTAAATTCTGTATGGCGATTCTGATGTCTAGAAGAAATTAGGAGTCACTGTAAAATAGAAATTACTATATCATTCGGGGGCATACTCTGAGGTTTCTGCAAAGTAGGTTTTTAATAGCTCTTGCATGAGTTGTGTGCCATAACATCATTCGATGCAATTTATTGTATTCTCTAAACATTGCATTAAAGACTAAACTTTATACAAATAAACACAAATCAATCACTGTATACAAGTCCTACTCTTTTTTTAAATATGCTTAGGAACTGAAGTGATGTATAACTGATACTATTTACGTCAGATCCTCAACAAAAAGAAAAAAAAATTGCGTCTTTATGTTACATCAACCTAAAAGAGTATCTGTATCAGCATGAATAAGTACACTGTGTTTATTATTACAAAACAATGATAATCTTTGTAAATCTGAATGGAGATTGTAAAAACTAGAAAATCTCAATCATATTTTTCCCGAATGTCCTTATATGGAAACTATTTCACAATCTCTTCATGAATACCGTTTGATTTTGTTCCAAAGGGATCAAGTGATATATATATTGTATATATACATAATATATATGGAAAATAATAATCAATTGTGTGTTAATATGAAACGGAAGTTATCATATTTATAATAAAATTAGAATGTTTTGCGATACAGAGATATATTTATGACACGTTATACTCAATCACTTCGTTCAATACTATGCCCCTTTTTCATACTCTTTAATGCTTTCTCTCGAAGTTTCTTTTCCAGTTCTTCTGTATTACCTTCACTTACATCAGATTCATCTGATTCCGCAACCTTCTTCTTCTTATGTTTTCTATGCTTCTTGTGCTTCTTGTGTTTCTTGTGCTTCTTCTCCTTCTTCTTCTTTTTCTCTTCCACTTCACTTTCCTAAAAAGTACCAGAATTTAATAATATAAAAATGTTTAAAGAAAATACATTTATTATTCTCATAAAATTTACCTCCGATTCGCTGGTGCTAGTTTTTGCCTTTTTCTTACGCTTCTTTTTCACTTTCTCATCGTCGGAGCTATCGTCAATTTTCCTTTTCTTTTTCGTGTCCTTATCTCCGAGATCGTCATCCTCCGAGCTAGAATCTCGTTTAGATTTCTTTGATTTTGATTTAGATTCATCTTCACTCGTCGAATCCTTTCTGGATTTTCGTGATTTAGATTTCTCCTCCTCTGATGAAGTATCTCTTCTTTTTTTTATTTTTTTAGGTTCTTCGTCCGAACTCGAATCTTTTTTCGATTTTCGAGATCTTGATCTATCATCTTCGTTTCTGCTTCTTTTAGATTTCTGCTCTTCCTCACCCGAAGAAGAATCTCTCCGCGATCTTTTTGATTTTTTTAAATCTTCCTCTATCTTCCTATCCCTTGAACGCTTTCGCGAATCATCGGCTATTTCGCGTTTTCTACTATCCTTTCTATCTTTGTTGCGATCATCCGTCGAATCTATAATATTAAAATATTAAAAATTAGGTTTATATAAATCATATTAATATATTTTATTCTACATAATTATAAACATACGTCGTTCACACATCAAATTTGAAGAAAAGAAAAAAACTTACCGGTTCGATTAGTGTCTCTAACTTTTTTATTTTTATCTGAATGCTTTTTGTCATCTTCAGAGTCTGAACTAGATCCAGCTTTGCTTTTTTCAGATTTATCTTCATCCGTCGATGCTTTCCTCGACCTCTTCGGTTTCTCTGGCTTTCTCGATTTTCTCTTGCCTGTAAAATAAATATCTTAAAAAACGGAACATTGATATTTATTACATGTATAGTTAATTCAAATGTATATTTTACTTTCGCCATCACTATCTTCGCTGTCCGTGGAACCATCACGCTTTTCTCTCTTCGTTTTTTTAGTCATTTCTGTAGGTTTCTTGGATGAAGATTCTAATGGTTTCTGAGCAGATTTTCTATCTTCTACTATTAATTTTGTTTTCAAAGATTTCTCATCTTTTTTTAGAGGGAAAGCATCTCCAGCGGCGAAATTTGTTTCTCCAATCTTCGGCGATTCGTCCTTGATATCTTCCCTGAAAATAAAATATATGTAATTAGAGCATCGATAATACGTGTAGCACATCAAGAATACTATTCATGAAATAAATATTTTGCAACATACTTAATAGTTTGTTTAATTTTAATTGCTGCTGCAACAATGTCTTCGGTCTTCTTAAACGGCGAGGGTGTACGCGATAAGCTCTTTGAAAACTGGAACAATGAAAAAAATGTTTTATAAAAGAATTTATCCTTATATATATATA